ACCACAGTTGCTCTACACAGCTCTAGTGTAAGTTCCTTTGCAACTGTGGTATGAAAACCATGCAACCTTGCAGATAAACAAAAGCAGATTTTTTGCATATTGTTCTCATCTTAGAATTTTTTATTTCACCAGTAGACTAGTCACAGCTTTGTATGACGCTGAACAAGAAGTTCAGGAATTCAGCCTTTGAAATGCAGAAATGCAGAAAACCTTATTTTTCTCTGAAATGTGTATGTAGCAATGAATATTGTGCAGTCTCTCTAAGTGAAATATATGCTTTTGATTAACCTTAGGATAGTGAAACCTAGACTGTGCTACCAGATGTTAAAACATTGCATGTTTGGTTGCAGCATTTCAGAAGTTTGGTGGTTGTCTCTCAGCTGAAGCACATTAGAGCCTTAAATGTAATCTATCTAACCTGTAATTCAGGTTGAAATTATTGGAAATTAGTTCAAATCAAGCTCCCTCCCACTCTTGGATTTCTTATTTTAATGGGCTAGCAGAATGGTTAAGCCCTAAATAGTTCCCAGGAGTTTTCAAGGATAATGTGCTAAGTGTACTTGCAGGTTGGCTGGAGCATCAACATCCCCGTTGGCATGACTTGAAAGAGAATATGTAGATTAGTGTCCTGGTACTTTTTTCAGAAGAGCTGAAATTTTCTCTTTAGAAGGGCAGGCTGCAAAATCCTTTTCATACTTACTTTCTTTTAAGATTATTTTAAACCTCTTCCACCATTTCAGCAGATATCACCAGACAAAATAGTGAGTATAGAGAGATAACTGTTCTATTCTTTTTTTTAAAAATCAATTGGGCAGACAACAAGCTAGATTGATGGAGCAAACCCTGCCCACACATGATCATAGCTGCCTCTGGATGTCAAGAAACGTAATATCCAGAGTAGGAGGGAGTTTTAGCAATAAATTACACTTCATCCTACCCTTCATTATCCAGGAATTTAATTGTTTTTTAGACTTGGACAATCAATATGCTATGCTCTACAAAATGCTCATGAAAGTAAGTACTAATAGATGTGTTAGGCATCTGGATTTTTTTCATTTCTGTTTTTAAATGGAACTTAACCAGAGCAGGTGTTGTCAAGAGGGCATTTGAATGTATGTTGTTGATCAAAAAATTTTAAAATTAAGCTTGTGTCCGAAGAAAACTTGCTCTGAGGGAATGATTGGAAGCAATATGCGCAGACTGAATATTTTTATGCTAACTGGTTTGTACCCACACTTCTATTCTTCTTTTAATAACTAATTAAAACAAATTAGAAGCTCAAATTTTACAGTCCTGTGATACTAATGTACTGATGCCATGCTGCCCCCAGGACTTTATTAGCATCTTGCTACACGTCTCCCCTTGGCTGTGAAATGTGTCAGAAAAGATCATTGAGAGCCCAGGCACTATATCCTCTTAAATTGCTGTCTGTCACTGTCAGTCATTTTTAATAGTGTGTTAAGATTTCTAACTTAATGTGTCAGTGATATTTTGTTATAGTATTTAAACACCTATTATAATCGTATCTGCAGATTCTTCTGAAGTAGCATGTATTCAGTAGAACCACAAATACATGCTTAGGAGACACAGGCTTTATGCTGAAATGCAACTGGTTTTTATCTGTACGTCCTGTCAATACCAGTTCCATTGTTTCTGTTGCTGGCAATGAACAGTCATTTTTGTGGCAGTAGAAACAAACCTAAGGAACTCGTAAATACTTTTTTTCCTGTTTTTCCCTTATGCCGTCAATTGCAGCAAAAGTGTAATTGGTCTTTTGGTAAAGACTGGGGGCAAAAAAAAAGTATCTTCCATGCAAAACTTGTGCGCAAAATCAACAGCTGTCCACGCTATTCTCTCTATAAATTTTTCTGTAATTCCAGTAAAGAATTGATCCAGAGCATTCTTCTGCTTTTAAGAGAGATTGTTTAGGTAGTTGTGTGTTGTCCTGTTGCTGTCTAAAATAGGAAGTTTTTCAGTTCTATTAAAAATTGAATTTTTAAGTAATTGGTAGTTTAAAACCAAGGATTAAAGTTTATTCACAGCTCTTTTTTTAATCAAGTTTAATATATAATTGCTTCTTCAAATAAATGTAAAGCATTGTCTTAGGACAAGAGGAAATGGCCTTAAGTTGTGCCCGGGGAGGTTTGGATTGGATATTAGGAAAAATTTGTTTACTGAAAGAGTAGTCAGGCATTGGAACAGGCTGTCCAGGAAAGTAGCGGAGTTGCCGTCCCTGGAGGTGTTAATGAAATGTGTCTATTTAGCACTTCAGGACATGGTTTATTACCAACCTAGTAATTCTAGTATTAAATAGCATTCCAGATCTCCAAAGAATAATGTCATCTTTGTGCAGAACGGAAGAAAAAAAGATGTGGCAATAACTAGAGTGCTAGTCTTGTAAAAACTTTCACACAAAGTAGATTTTAAAAGACCAGAAAAGTTCTGTTTGTTACATATGTAACACTGAATGTCTATCAAGCTAACTTTGTCCTTTGGAAACCCTAATATAGTTTGTAGTGAGAACACGTATATACACGACTTTCTGGAACAACATTGGTTTTGGAATGAAATCATGTAATTTTACATGTAGGATTTGCTGGAAAGGAGTTGTTAGAGCTGTAGATCTTTGCTGCCGTTTGACTGTTGATTGCTAGCCATGTTGGCTACAGTGAGTATCTTCTTGTTAGAAGCTAAACAGTCATGATGTTCCTGTCATTTCATACAAAATGTAATACTTAAAACACTTGAGACTTTCTGTGTATTCTCTACACACCAAAAAAATCCCTACTGTGTTTACTTTCCACAGTTTTACCAGGTTCACTCTTGGCTTATCTCTAGCCATCTTTTCAGTCTTGTAACCCTAGAATCCATGATTCTTACTTTCCATACATATGACAGCTTGTGGTCATGGGACAAACAATTTTGAACTAATGTAGTTTGATTTGACACAGCAATTTCTGCAGTTTCTACCTGAAACAAACACCTGTGTTTAGATGCACTAAGCTGGTGTGTAATTCCCTTTTTATTCTGGTTTCTCTACAGGTTTTATAGTGAAAGAGCAATTGCTACTAGGCAGCATTGCTACTAGGCAGCAATGTTTCAGATAGTAAAAATGTACCAAGAAAAGAACCAGTGGAAAACCAGATTAAATTGTAGATCTAAGAAGCTTGCAAGCTACTTTCCATTTTTTATAGAAGTCATTCCATCCAACGATAGTATAGCTTGGATTTTTAAATCCAGTTTTGAAGCTGGAGTTGTTACATTCTGGAACAATTGCATATTAAAATAATTTGCTTTTCACAAGTATATTCTTAAACAAAATGTTCTTGTTTTCCCTTATGCTGGCAAGTCTCCTCAATATTATTTTTTTTAGGATGCTTTAAAGTACTTCCTATGGTATTATTCCTTCTACATAATTTCTCTGTTACAACAATATAGATTGGTAGAATACTCAATGGAAAGTAGTATAAAGTAAGGAAGACATTATTTTCTACTACCCTCAAGAGCAAAATAGATAGATACTGTCGTAGAAAGATAATGAATCCCCTGAATCTATCTGTTTAGCAGAGGACTGAAGACAAATGCTACATACATGCTCTTTCTGGAGTCAACAAGTCATATGTCCTTGGTGAAATTACCCTGTGGGGAGCACCTTCATCATCTTGGCTCATATGCCTTTTCTGTCTGTTAGAACATCAAAAAAGGAAATGGAATAGGTCTTTGTAGGAAATTTGTGTTATCTGTTTCTTTTCCTCCCTCCTTGGTTGCAAGCTCTCTCTTGAGTTCCCTTTCTCTGAAAATGGTTTTTCATTTACCTCTAGATCTTTTGCGTTTAGTACGGTAAACAGAGGGCAGTTTTGACTTCACTCCTTTGCATTTCAAGGTAAACAAAGAAATTAGAGGTGCATTTGTGAAGGGCCAGTTACAAATGACTCTTTTTGCAGCTTTCTTCTAGCTTTGAGGCTTATCAGTGTAAAAGCAGCAGATGCATAATGTAAAATATTTTGGTCCGTGTTCATATAGAGGGATTTTCTTCTTTATAAAGTAGATGTGGCATTAGGGGGAGCAGAGAGTAGTCATATAGCATATTTTAACTTAGGTTGAGATCAGCTACTTTTAGGAAAAAATTAAATATCAGTAGAGAGATTCTCACATGTAGCTTCGTTCCATGTCTTCTGCCATTCACAAAAATAGAGTGTTTTCATCTCTTTCTGAAAACTGAATGCCGACTCAAAGCATATACAACCTTTTGAAGCTCAGCAAGGTAGCTCATGATTTGCCTTTAGTGGTGGTTTCAGCAGTTCCAGACCTGTCACGTGCAAATTAGAATGTTCTTAGGGAAGTATCAAATCTCATGCTAGCTTTTAGGAACAAAGGCCAAACAACTATTTAATGAAATGTGTAAATGTTTTGATAGATTCTCCTTTATCAATTAGCATAAGCAGACAATCTGGTTAGAATAAGATTCTGTTCCATTTAAGCTGTATTATTTAGGAATAAATTTCTTAATATTATCTGTCAAGGTATACCTGTAAATACAATAATACTTATTAGCTAGATATTTTAATATGCCTTGTCCAAGTGACTCTGTATCTTCTAACAGTATAAAATATGTAAAGTATAGAGTCCATGTTGCTATATGTTACAGTGGTGTAAAACACTTATTACTTTAATTTCATAAGACAGCATTATTTCATAACACATTTTCAGCTGTTTACAGTTGTTCATGTTAGAATAAAATGCAAACACCTTCAAATGTGTCTGTCGTGTGTGAGTATATGTACATACTTAAGCTACACATAGACTAAATATATTTACTGGAATGTTGCTAGAGATTTTACAGAAATTGGGTGTGAACCTTTGGGATTTCATTTTCAAGGAGGTGGTCAAGGAGATTTGAAGTGTGTTCTTAACAATTACTTAAGAACAATGCAATAATTGTGAAAGACTGATACAGAATAGTCTGTTAGAGAATACACTGACTTTCCACTTCTTGACAGGTGGATGACATCTTAGGAGAAGGCAGTGACGAAAGTGATAGTGAAAAAAAAAAGCCAGAAGAGGAAGGTGAAAAACCTCAGACTAGTGCAACAGAGACTCTAGGAATGAAAACAGATCAGAGACCTGGATCATCGTCATCATCATCATCAAGAAGTGAAAGAAGCTTAAGAGGCAATGTAACCAGGTATGAGTTTTTCACATCTCAAAAGAAGCATTAATGATGTTTCATTGTGTTCATGCACTATTCTGTATTATTTTTGACAATGCAATAATTCTGTTACCTCTCTATATAGGTAACTTTCTTTTCTTACTGTGAAGTTATCATTCTTACCTCTGTAATGTTTTGGGATTGGTTCAAGGAAGTGGTCATAGTAAATGTCTGTCGAGAACCTGTTTTGAAAGATTTGAAGAACACTGAATTACATTTGTTTTAAAGTAGTCTTGATCCTGAGCCAGATATAGGACAATGCAGTGTGACTTTAAATAAAATAAGGCATGGTTTTGGAAAGCTATGCTTTTCTCATCCAGAATTTTTGAGATATTTTTCAATGAGAAATTCATAAAAATTAGGTAGGTGGTTGTGACAGTTTTCTGCTTTCGTCTCTTAGAAAGAGATTTAAACTTGCTAATCTCTTCTGCAAAAATTATTTTAGTGTTCCACCACTGACTGTTGAATTACATCTATCAACCAATTAACTAGTTGAACTTGATAAAATAAGTGCATATTTTAAATATGCTAAAGGAATGGTTCTCAATCTGCAACCCCTTAATAGTTTTTAAGCCTAACAATATAGAGAGAGCAATATAAGATTAATATATATAGCATTTTTAATTTAGAATTGCTGCTATCATAATCCTGTACCAGAAAGTGCTGAGTGCAAACATGAATCAGGGTTTCTTATGTAACTTTTCTTTTTTTGACCTTTCTGCCTCTTAAGAGTTTCCCTAACCATTTGTTAAATTGCATCCAGGATTGAACCTGAATGGTGTACTGGAACACATACGAGGTACTGGTTCAGATGCTGACCCAGTGTCTGCTAGGCAGGACATTCTGCTTGATAGAAAGGAGATTCTATCCATCATCCTTATTCCTTTTTTTAAAAAGTTTGAAGTTTTAAATTGATGTTTTTCACAGTCAGTTACTGTTCTATGTGTTGAAGAGATACTATACCCTATACCAGAGGGATAATGTAGGAACAGCAGGATTCAAATCTTCAGGACATTAGTCCACTCTGACAGAAATACCAGCTACAGTTTCTGGTGGACCACGTTTCTGAAAGCCAGTTGCTATACCAGCATGTATGTCCCATTAAGATCTGAAGTTTCCTTCTGTTCTGAAAAATCAGAGTCTTTGGGGTGACAGAGAGCATATTGAGGCTGAAAAGCTATTTCATAGTTTTTAATTATTTCTGGCCTGTCATATAGCCTGAAGTCACAAGTTATTTGTTACGGTGAACACCATCACCTCTTGCCCTATTAAGAAAACAGAGGGTTTGTATTCTGAAGGCCATTCATTATGTAGATCCATCCTGGACCAGCAGATTAAATCATTATTTCACAACCTGCTGTGATCACTCTGATGTCCATATCTTAGTTATTAACGTTCTGGTAAACAAAAGATGAACAAGATAAAGTCAGACTAAATATAGCTGAGTAATGTTCTGGTTCTGCTTTTTCTTAGCAGACATGAGGTTTGCAGAGACTGTTTTTTTAGTAAGCAATGCTCCATTGCTGCATTACAGCTCTATTTCAGTTATTGACACTGGAACAGTAGCACTTAAAAGACAGAAATGTAGCATTTATGTTTAATGTGAAATCTTCAGTCTTGCAATCTACAGAATACCTTGATCATTTATCTGACTGTTGCCACTTCTACAGTTCCCATGGGTGGAGAACAAAAACAATCTTTGAGAAATCTTTTTGAGAAGGAAAAGGAGGATGCAGGATCTTTCCTACATCCATGTACTTTTATGACTTGATAGGTACCGTGCAGTTAGGTTACAATTTGACAGCCTAGAGTTATTATTTTTAAATCCTAACTTTTTATGAAGTTAATAAAATGCTTATCTTTATCTTACATCATATTAAAAGGGTACTGCATAGACCAAACAATGAATGGGAATTTCATACTGTGTAAGAAGATGAAATAGAAATTAGTGAAATAAAAAAAAAAACAAAAAAAACCCAACAAACCAGAGTTGTTGATATTATTCACATTTGATTAGCCTCTTGTGATTGACTTGCATAACAAGAAAATAGATTTGCAGCTTACTTATATTCAGAAGTTTTTATTCTGGAATAGTCTTGGTCTTTTTGAAGATAGTATTTTTCCGAGCTGCTTGCCTAATTTTTTTAAATGAATTGCTGTTCAGAGCTCTGATCCAACTTCTGTTAAAGGTGAACATGACTTCAACAAGCACTGGGCTTGAGCCTCCTCACAGTTCTACTAAAATTCTCTACTTTGACTGAAATTCCACTTAATGTAATTGAAATATGTCACACATGAAACTTTTTCCTGTAAGTTATGAGTAAGGAATCATGAAAATGTACAGGTGCTTTTAATAAGTGTTAGTAATGATTAATGATACGTAATATGAAAAAGTTTTTGAGACTAGTACAAAGAGAATGTGTTCATAAGAGAGAACTGAATGTTTAGCTTCAGTATAAACCTAGCAGCAAGAAGGGTCTAGTTGAGGTGTTTCAAGCTTTTTAAGGTGTCACTACAGTTTGCTTTGTTTTTTTCAGTGCATTTTGATTTCACGCTGTTGGCTCCACTGGCACTTGAGTAACAGTGAACACTTCTGCAGTTCTAATAATTTTCCCTTATCTTAAACTTGCATATTGTGAAGTAGTTGCCACAATAATATATATTGAACAAATATATTGTTAGTATGTTTTAATGTTGGTCTTTGTAGGGAGAGTGAAAAGTGGGTAAAAGGCTGTGGAAGTCTCAAAAGAGTAGATTTGGTAGAAGGAGGTACAGGCATATGAAACAAATAATGCTGTTGAGAAAATTAGCTGAGCAATATGTCAAGGTTTGGGGTTTAAGCCTTTTGAGTTTTCTAGTGGAAATGTGAATCAGTGTACAGCAAATATAAGTGTGCTATGTGTCTATTGAGATACCTGTTTTCTGATGCAGAGCAGACTTCAGAAATAGTTAATGAAATACTTCAGTTGTATTACTGAAGCTAGGAAATTTGGTGCACTTAATATAATGAAATGCTAAAGAAATTAGGGCAACAAAATAGAAATTTGAGGTGCACCATCTGTGTCTTCCAGTTGTATGCCATATATCTGTGGCATGTGGTCTTCTGTAATACACCTACAATTTCTCTCAGGGTATTGGAAATATTTAATGGTGAGTGGGAGTTATCAGAAAAAAAGATTACATAATGCTAACATAGTTTCAAAGTATTTATGATAACATCTTTACTTTGCAATGGAAGTTTCAATATTTGTGTTAAGACATGTTCTTCAGCTTAAGGAGGAAGTATTCTACTCTGAATAACAAGTGGGAAGAAATCTAATAACTAGAAGTGGTATCTAGTAACAAACCTTTGCTTGCAAAATTTGAACCTCCTTTACAAAAGTATAGCTCAGTGAAATGTTTCCTTTAGCAAAATTTCTTACTGAAAATTTCTGCATGAATCCCAAGATGATATTTGTAACTGGTGGGGAAATAATAATTTTAAGAACAAATGGATGTTATAAAAGATGCATAAGAAATTGTAGTTTATGCTTGGACTTCCATCTTATTTTCAAAACATCTGAAATGCCTGCTGCTTCTGTACATTCACGTTGTGAGTTTCTGATATATATTTCTTACTAAATTCAAGAAAAGCACTTTAGGTTGTTTTGCTACAGAGAGGCATTGATCCAAAGTTTTTCAGGAAGCGTCCCGTCTTTGAAACTTCTTAACTCTGACCTAAATTATTCACATTTTTGGTTTTCTGATCAGAAAGAGTCTGCATATTAGAGCTGTCCTTTGAGTTCTCCCAAAACAGGTTTTGTCAATCTGTCTATTCTTTGTAGTCATAATGGATGAGAATAGTGGTTTTAAATGCAACTGTGTTAGATGATTCACAGCATAAAGTAAAGCTTCACATATCCTGCTAATACATAAGCAAGGAAAACTGAGCTTGGAATCTCAGAAATCCCACAGTGTCTTTTCTGTACCCATTTACTAAACTTTTAAAAGGAACAGTGATATTTTGTGTTACCTTAAGAATGTATTCAGTTCTTTGGAAGTGTTGTGTTTTTTCTTTCAAACATAATAGCACAACAGCCACTTTGCGAGAAGACTGAAATTACAGGCTTCCTTGCTTTCTTGCTGCTGGAAAAGACTGCTGTAAACTCCTGTGCAAAATTTTGTTGATGATGCCTTTCATCCTAATTGAAGCATTATATTTACTATCACTGTAACTTTCTTCCAGTTCCCAGTATTAAGACACTCAGCTTTGAGGATCTTGGGATCTGAGTTTTTACAGCTTGATGTTTACCAGGTTGTTAACCTTGCATTTGTTACTCATATTCATCTGAATTTTTTTCAAAAACAATTTCAGTGACAATTCAAAACTACTGAAGTTTCTGTAGCAGTAGAGGTTAGTCATGCATAAAACAGGTCCTTTTTTTAAGTCTCCCATTCAGATCTCCCTTTATAAGAACTGAAGTTAATTATTGGAATTGGCCTGAACCAATTATAAAGCTCATTTCAAGTATAAGACAATTTCTAAAACTGCACTGTGACTTTGGCAGTGTGCCTGCAGAGGAACTACAAGAGAAAACATCTCATCTTAAAGGCTGTGTTCCCTCAAAATATCTTTGTATTGCAGAAGCAGTGTTTCAGTTAGGCATTAGTGAATTAGGTTGAATCTTGCAGCTTGTTTGGGTGGTTTAATATCTCTGCATGGAATTAACATTGCTGGAAAATTTCAGAAAGCAAATACAGCCCATTTATTGATAACATTCATGATCCACAGTCGAAAAAATTGTTTGATAGAAGCAGCAGTTCTTTATTGTTCTTTAATGTAGTTTGGTACATAAAAGCAGTTTTCCTACTTGCATACTGCATTTTAATCATCTCAATTCATTTTAATGAGATTCAGAAGGTCTCCTTCACTAAAAGAAGGAAACCCACTCAGCCTTTGAAAACAATGAATAATTGCTGGGTAGGGTAGGAAAAAA